TCTCCCCCCCCCCCCCCAAAGTCCAGGAAATGGCATTTCAGAGACTCTAAATTCAACCCAGACCCCGGACCCCCCATAGACAAACCTCGCACCTGCGGCGCTCGGCTCGTGCCTTCGGCCCTCGTTTATCAAGGGTAATATTATAGGGGCGCATATTAGTTGCCAGCCGACTGGCCCCGCCAGAAAAATAGTACCCAGCATGCCAATGATAACTATCCTTCGTACATACAAATGTATCGCCTCTGTGGCATGCACGTATCAAGCGTTCTCGTTTTGGGCTATGGTATCTAGCCCTAGGAAAATATATATAGACAGAATATATCAAACATGACGGAGCGTATATATAGAACAATATCGAATGGTTACGACTAAAAAGTGCGCTTGTGGTACTTGTAAAAGCGATTCACGGTATCCTAATCGGTTACGAAACAGTAATAGGCTAGATACCATAGCGCAAAACGAGAGCGCTGGATACGTGCATGCCACAGATGCGATAAATTTGTATGTATACGAAGGATAGTTATATCTCAGTCGGTAATGGATTCTTTAGTAAGGTACTTTCTGATGCGTCTAGTTATGTTATATAAAAAGTAAAATCCAGAAGAGCATGCGTTCGAAATATGGGCGCTAATGCATCAAACCATACACCTAAATTCTTAGCAACAGGTTGCATGGGGGCAATGTCCGCAGCACCAATCGTGATATGTCCGCAGCACCAATCGTGATATGTCCGCAGCACCAATCGTGATATGTCCGCAGCACCAATCGTGGAATTGACGATATTATTAGCTAGGCTTTACTCTCTCTAAAAGCTATTTAACAGCGACACGTATACAAAATAATTCATGCATGTTGTGCTACGAGTAGCCTGCGTGCAGGCCCAAGGGAACTGATAGTGGGCCTGCAAGCAAGACCCGGTATTTTGTACTTTCCGCGTTCGCCCACGAACGCGGCATTCTGATTGGCTGTTTGCTGTTGGACTCTATAATTAGATCAGTGATTCATCACAAAGGCTCTCGATAAGCTTAAAATTCGAAAATTTATCGCATTTTTCGATTATAAATGGAACAAGAACAGACTGTTTATTGTTTACTTGAAGGAAGAGATGTTTTTGGCGTTATGCCAATGGGGATTGCTTGTCGTGAGGTGTTGGAATAGCGACATTACGATTTACGACTGGGGTAAACTATAGTAACCTTTACTTGAGTTTCATTAATTTCAAACAGTCTTGATACGTTATATGTTCCTCAAGAAAATTATCATTTGGTTGATGTTGACTCTGAAAGAAAACAGCGCTTTTCGCGGCGAAGATTTAGAGGCAGTTGCATGTAAGCCTATTCGAAACACTTTGCGATTTACAAGGCTTCGTTGAGAGAGCGAAACAGAAGACGGTATTAAATTGCCGTTTGAAACGATCTGGACTCTGAACGCTCTCTTCTTTTGTAGAGTTCTTTACCAAATGTAATGACTAAAATAAATTTCGTACTTTCCGCCGCCAACAAGAATTGCACACACGATCTGATAAGTGAGACAATTTATTTATAACAATGGCGACAGCGAAGCACACATTATAAATGATAATGTACAGTAGTCCCATGCACGACTTCCCTCACGATTTGAAGTTTGAGACTGGTTTTCTGTTGAAATTCGTCCTAATTTGCCTGTTCCGATTTTAGTTGAAAATGAGCACTTGCAAATTTGGCAATTACTGACTGCGTTGCTTGCTTTTTTTGGAGTTAAAACGCAGCCATTTACACATTGTTTATGTTCTGAATAAGCAGAGAAAACCCCGCAACATTTTAATGCGAGTTTGTTAATATTTGGGTGCTGTCATTGGTTCTTTTTTGACAATTGATGCGCGAATGGGGCGTGTTTTGAAGAGGGGCGTTTTACAAAATGCCGGGCCTTGCTTGCAGGCCCACTATCAGTTCCCTTGGGCCTGCACGCGGGCTATGCTTTTTTTTTTGATAAACCACAGCAGTCATGGAGAACAGTCGTGTCAATTTGAGCTCCGTAAATTCAAGCCAAATTCTGGCAAATTCATTGTTGGATTTTATGAGTGAAAGTGTTAAGATACCTACAAATAGTGTGGAAAGTAAAGAACTTTCATCTCTTGTTTTTATTGACGAAAGCGGTTACTGCTGGAAAGGCAATTTAGCTCAATTAAAGAATTTCGTACAAAATGACTTAAAGTTAATCGGCAAATGGTCATCGCCTGGCGGTGAAACGAAGTTATTTAAGAACACCGAGATTATCCTTAAATGGACTGGGCAAACTCGAAAGAAGCTGATAATTGAAAAAGACAGCGAAGTAAATCTCGTGGCGAACACGCTAAAACGTTTATGCAATGGTGATGTGTTTTGCTTAGATACAGCAACGGCGTGTAAAGAGTCGATTGATGACAAAGCTAAGCAATCTGTAGCGACTGACTCTGAATTTTCAACTATATGGGTGGCAATAAATGGGATTCAAGACGTGGTGACGGCCAAATTGGAAGAAGTAACATTAGCCCATGACAACAAACTTATAAGAATAGAAGCTGAGGTATGTAAAGTACGATCTAATTACGAAAGGAAAATTGAAAATTTGAATAATAAATGTCATGAATTATTGCTTAAACTTGAATGTAAGAAGGCGCTTGAAGATAAAGTAAATAAACTTGAAGTTTTGGTTGGCAAACTTAAAGCCGATATACAGGATCTACGAAATGAGAATGGTTTGTTCAAATTGAAGCCACGGTTGTTTAAAAACTCCACGCCTAAAGTACAACAAAAAAACACCGGGAACAATGACCTAGATTTAATTGGTACAATTAACATTCCTGATGAACCGATAACTATTGTTGATAAACAACCCCAGGATTTAAATAAAAATTTAGAGTTAAACACCTCTCTCTCAGTTAGCAATAAGACTTCTCGGGCCGACAAAGGATCGGTGTATAATCCTCAGATGAATTCAGTTATTGAATGTATTCAGGCAAGAAATCAACCTAGAAGCAATCCATCGAGAGGGCCACGTACGAGCAATGTTTCCAAACGTAATTCCGCTATTCCCAGCCATCCTTTGCCCAAGCACTTGGTACCTTGCCCATTTCTAAGACGGAGAGGCTTTTGCCTAAAGGGTCCCTTGTGTGACTTCCAGCACAAAGATTCTCAATCGTCTAATAATGCAACCAATAATTCGTCGAATAACCCGTTCTATTGTTTGTCCAATAATCGACCAAGAGTGTCCAATAACCTACAGCGATACCATCATAACTTGGGCTGTACATCTTATCCAAATATATCACAACCTGTTACTAATCATTGTCCTTTTCCTGTGAATCCAAGCCATTTCCGTTTCAACCCCCACAGTATCATCCAATGCTTCTACCATATGTATACCCACCACCTTTGTTGACATCAATATAACCCCTTTACGGCCCCCTGTCGTCTCCCCCTTAGCACCACCTACAATAACGTTTACTAGCATGCCTTTGAGTGTTCTAAATCGTCCTCGAAAAGTGAAAAGCAACATTTCAAATCAAAATCATTGTGTAAATCGAAATAATCTGATACACATTCAAACCTGTCCAAGAAATCAGGATTATAAACCGAGCGATAATAAAAGCATAAACGTTCCAGTTTTCCTCTTATCTAATGTCATGTCACTGGCACCTAAGATAGATGAGGTTCGCATTGTCGCCAATAGTGTGAACCCTGATTTTATTTCTGTGACGGAAACATGGTTACAAAATCATGTTCATTCAAATGTTGTTGAGTTGGGCGGTTATAATATTGTCCGGAAAGACAGACAAGCGGCCACACATGGAAGCATCTGCCTATACATCAGAGACACTATCCAGTTCTTTGTGTTGGAAACTCTATCAAACTCAATTTTTGAAGTCTTGTGGGTTAGGATCTGTCCGACTAGATTACCGAGGGGCGTAAATTCAATCATAGTGGGAACCGTTTATCACCCACCCAACGCGAACAACTCCGAAATGTTGGATTATTTCATAGAAACTCTATCAATCATCGAGGCGAACTATTTTGGTTGCGGTATTATTATTCTGGGTGATTTCAATCAACTAAATGTTAGAAGACTAAATACCAATTTTAATCTAAAACAAATTGTCAATTTTCCCACCCGTGGTCAAAATACTCTCGATTTGGTGCTGACCAACTTAGACAAGAGTTCTATGAAAAACCAATTAAGATGTCCCCCTTTGGCCTCTCTGACCATGTTACCATTGTAGTGAAACCTAAAAAACGAGGACAGGTCAAGGTTGTTAAATCAATCGTAAAGTCGAGGGATATGCGACCAAGTAAACGTTATGCAATGAGGTCCTATCTGGAACAAACAAATGTTTCAAATTTAATTAATTCGGTGCAATTATGTGATGATGAAGTCTCGATGCTGGAAACAATTGTTAAGATTGGTCTCGATTTCATTATGCCCTTGCAAACTAGGACTGTTATATCAAATGAGCCAGTGTGGATCACTTCCTCTTTGAAAGACCTTATAGGAAAACGACAAAAAGCTTTGAATAGTGGAAATTTAGAAGAATTCAAACGGCTCCGTAATTGCGTGAATCGGGAGCAGAAAAATGTCGTTCTAAATACTACGAAGCGAAGGTCAAACATCTAAAAAGTTGCAAATCTTCCGACTGGTGGAGAGAAGTCAAGAAATTGAGTGGAATGAACTCGGCTTTTAACTCTAAAAATGAGGTGTATAAGTCGTTAGAGAATCTAAATGAGACAGCTACTAGTACCAAACATCTTGCCAACATTATCAATGGAATCTTTCTTTCTCCTATGAATAACTTCTCCCCTTTAGCCAGTGACTTTTTCGCTTGTACCAATTTCGGCAGCGATGAACCTGGTTTTACGGTTACGGAGCAGGAGTTCTTTATGAAATTGTCAAAAATGAATCCAGCCAAGGCCAGTGGTCCAGATGGGATACCCAGCTGGGTTCTAAAGGAAAATGCTGATCTACTGGCCGATCCTGTAAAAGAGATTTTGAATCTTTCGTATAGAAATGGCTGTCTTCCGCAGTTGTGGGAAGAAGCGGATATTGTCCCTCTTCCAAAGCAGAAACCCGTAAAAGACGTGAATAAGCACCTACGTCCCATTTCATTAACATCTGTTGTATCAAAGGTGGCGGAGGATTTCGTTGTCGAAAATTTTGTTAAACCTGCTGTCCTTAGTAAGATTGACATAAATCAATTTGGAACGATTCTCAAATCATCAACAACTCATGCGCTAATAAGCATGATACATAAGTGCAAAAAACAAACTGACGGAAACGGTTCTATAGTGCGGGTTGTCCTTTTTGATTTCAAAAAAGCCTTTGACTTAATCGATCATGGTATTCTCGTAGACAAGCTTACTACCTTTGAAATACCAAAGCGAATAATTGGGTGGATCGTTAATTTTCTCAAAGACCGTAAACAGCTCGTCAAGTTAAGCCAAGATTGTCACTCCGAATGGGGTTTGGTTCCGGCAGGCGTCCTTCAAGGGACTAAATTGGGTCCTTGGCTTTTTGCTATAATGATAAATGACCTAAAAGTAGCGGATATAGATTTATGGAAGTATGTGGACGATACTACAATCTCCGAGATTGTCCTTAAACATGAAACCAGCAGCATCCAATCTCAGGTAGACGAGTTTATAAGGAAATCAACTGCAAATAAATTTCAGTTAAACGAAGAGAAATGCAAAGAGCTTCAAATTACCTTTGCAAGACCCGGGCGTACGTTTACACCCGTGTATGTTAATAATAAACCAATCGAAGTTGTCCCTTCTGCAAAGATATTGGGCATGCGAATTACGAACGACCTTAAATGGAATACCCACATCTCAGAGATTGTAAAGAAAGTTTCAACAAGACTCTTCTTTCTTTGTCAACTAAAAAGAACAAAAATCTGTAGAAAGGATTTACTAACATTTTACCTGACCTGTGTGCGTCCTGTGATGGAATATGCTTGTCCCGTTTTCCACGACTCCTTACCCAATTACCTATGCGAAGATCTGGAGAAGTTACACAAGCGAGCCCTTCATATAATCTTCCCAACGTTACCTTATGCAGAAGCTTTGGTAGAAGCGGGAGTTGACTCATTATTTAATAGAAGACAAATCCTAACTACTAAACTATTTAATGATATTGCAAATGACGAAAGTTATAAGCTTCACCAATTACTACCAAGTAAGAACTTTTCAAATTATAATATAAGGAAAGAGAACATTTTTAACGTTTCTATTAGTAGGACGAATAGATTTAAAAATAGTTTTATACAGCATAATTCTACAATGTATTTTAGATAAAGTAAATATTTATATAAGGAAAGAGAACATTTTCAACGTTTCTATTAGTAGGACGAATAGATTTAAAATAGTTTTATACAACATAATTCTACAATGTATGTTAGATAAAGTAAATATTTATTGTAAAGTTAGAAGCGTAATTCAACCTGTGGGTTGTAATGTTTTTAATTAATT